CCCCCCTCCCCCATGTCCCTCCCTCTCTCTCATACATAATTTGCCCACCCACTATACTGACTGTCTCTCTCTCCCTTCTAGTAGTTTTCTACAGAATCACTTTCCCTGCATATTATAAATACCTGGAAGTTGAAACCAATGTGCTGTCATGTCAGTGCCACTCACGGGACCTGACCCCACTCCGTGGTCCTTCAAACACCCAGTCCTCCCCCATGTCCCTCCCTCTCTCTCATACATAATTTGCCCACCCACTATACTGACTGTCTCTCTCTCCCTTCTAGTAGTTTTCTACAGAATCACTTTCCCTGCATATTATAAATACCTGGAAGTTGAAACCAATGTGCTGTCATGTCAGTGCCACTCACGGGACCTGACCCCACTCCGTGGTCCTTCAAACACCCAGTCCTAACACCTCCTCACCAGGAGATTCTCTTCCCCTGACAAATTAATCTAAGCTTCTAGTCCTTGTGGTGATTTTGAAATTCTGAATATGGCTTTTAAAAAATATTACATCGCTAGAAAAATGGAGGCAGAAACAGGATAAGCCATCTATGTGGAGATAACTGAGACCTGTTTTACGTCAGGAAGCAAGATCACTTACGACCTTGGCAGAGGATGACTGCTTGGGAAAACAGGAAGGAAAGTGGCTTGTTTTCTGCCCTCCGGATGAGCTTTTTGTATGATGTCATCTTCTTCCAGCTCATTTTACCTTTAATAGTTCCCTCCCTCGTATCAATTTCCATGCCACTAACGGGTGTTTGTTTCCTCCCTCCAACTTTTACCATGTGTCTATACTCTGGTTTCTTGAGGAAGTGTCCACCCTGCCTCTCTGGCAGCTTCTCACGGTACAAATGGTCAGATCTTGTCATTTCTCTCCCTGACTCCCACTGAAGCTCATTCACTAAATCTTTTCCCGGTCATATTCTGGTCATTGATCTCCTAGAATTAAGCTAGGATTCCTAAATACTGTTCTGCCTGTAGAAATAATTTCAATCTAAATACTTTAAACGTGGTCAATTTAATCCTAGCATATGGATTTTAATAGAATCTAACCTTACAAATAAACACTTGTGTTTCATGGTGCATAAAAAATAATAAAGTTAATTCTGTGGATTATATGCTTACAGTTCTGTCCTGGATTGAGTTTCATAGCTTGTGGATACAATTCGCAGGCCTTCTCTGTGTTTATAACAGTCCCCAGGAAGGTATTTATCAGGTTGTTTTCAGATAGATTTTATTCACCTAGTGCCTTCCAAAGAGGACAATTCAAAGGCAACCAGCATTAACTTCAATTCTTTTACCAATTACCAGAAAACTTGAAATGTGTTGCTGCAAGCCCTGTCACGGTTGTCTCATATAATACAAGCTACACTTGACCTGTCTGGGAGACTCTGTTCACAGCGTATCCACGGTTGCATGTCAGAAAAAAACTTCTGGAAGCCCAAAATTTAGTGCCATCCAGGCTCTACCTGACACTAATTCACTCTCAAGTGCGGCCTGGGCATATATTTTTGAAGCTCCCTAGGAAGATCTAGCATCCAGCCAGAGTGGAGAACAGCGGTGTCAGTCCTGCGCATGAAAAATGCTCATGAGTAAAAAAATTAGAGTGAAGGGTTGGCACTTCACTTCAGGTTACAACTCTGCATCCTCAGAGGCGGGTGAGAGTCCTTTCTTTGGCCCAGTCCTGAATTTCTGCTTGTCCGAATGTGAGGTAAAAGACCAGACCGAACATGTTGACCACGGCAGACAGGAAAAACACATTCCTCCATCCAGACTCAGAATCCTGAACACAGACATACACAATCCTTGTTAATCTCACAAAGTCCTTCTCCACCCATTTCCCAAGCGCTCCACATTGCATAGTGCAGTGCTAATGGCGAAGACCGGACGGACTAAGTACAACAGGTGCAGCCCAGGGGCCTCACGGAGCTGTTGCAAGCAAAATGACTAAGGTGCACGCTGGAGTCTGACTCCAAGAACAAATGAAACCACACCATTTTTCCAGGAATCCACATCTGAACACTCATGGAGATATAGTGTCGTAATCATGCGTAAAATGGCATCATTAGGGTCTCGTGTTTGTGGCCTTGTTTCGTTTAGCGCTTTGTCTGTTGACACCAATCACTGCAAAGCCCTCTTCCGGACATCTCATGCAATACAAGCTGCTCTTGACCTGCCTGGGAGACTGTCCTCATTAGGCCAATCACAGTTCATTTTTGGCATTACAGTTAGTCACAGAAAATTCTTAGAAATGTACTCAAGAGTCAGCCTGGGATCTAGGTCACTGGAGGTATATTAAAAACAACCAAAACAACAGTCTTTGCATCTCAAGTTGGCTCTCTCGGGTCTTCCATTCCCTCCCTTCCTGCTCACAAGCCTACACCTGCAGACACCAAGCACACTTACAGCCCGGGCAGCATGGGTCAGCCTGTGCTGTCCTTCCTCCTCACTAGCCTACATCTATAGACACCCAGCAAGCCTCACAGCCCAAGCTCCTTTTAAATCTTACAACCTTCCCCCTCTCACCTGCTAGTTAAGGTCCTTAAAGCGGCCTTGGGACACTTAGTTTTCCCTACTGTGATGTAAAAATAAAATAGAATTACTGGAACAGAGCCTTGCTGACCCTCCTCTTCCTTGGTCTCTGCTTCACCACTTACTAATGCTTGCTGTGTCTTGTTCACTCTGACCATAACACAGAGCTCATGTGTTTCCCCTCTGGGAAATCACAGAAAAACTGTCTTCACACCCAAGCAGCTCATTTCTCCAAAGTGAACACCTATCCATTTTGAGAAACTCAGCTTTAATTTTCCTTCCCTGAGAATCCTGACGACCTCCCAGAGTCTGATGGAGAGGTTTGCATGAACAGCATATGTTTAAATCCATCTTCGAGAGCACAGGGTACATTTTCAATGCCTAAAACAATACCTGCCACTTGCAGATGTTCAAGAACATGCCCAACCTGACTGATTAGGAATCCGGTGGTTGTGGAAGAGATGATTCCTGCAGTAAGCCCGAATCCCCTTGAGATCCCCATGAGGAAACTTGCGTATCTACAGAGAAGAAAATTTCATAGAGAAAACCGTCTATGACATCATAGCGGATCAGCTCTTAGAAAGGTCATTTCTAATGGCAAAGCCACTTGGCCTAGAGCAGTGCTTCATTTAAAGACATCCAAGGAGATTCTATAGGCCACCTTTGAAATCGAGGTAGTAGTTAGACTAATCAGAGAATTGGTCTCTGTAGGAACAAAGATTTCCACCCCACTGCCCAGCGTAGGAGGCAGTTTACACAACAGACAGGATGTCGACTCTGAAGCCAAACTGTGTGGGTTCATATCCTGTCTCTGCGCTTGTGTGACTATAGGCATAACTCTTCCTTGTATTAGGGGATTTACCTAACATATTTGTGATACTGACATCCATTAATTCAGGAAAATGGTTTAGTGTAGGGTTGGATCATGGTAAGTATAGCTTTCTGTGGTGATGTTGTGATAAACACCATGGAAACTTCTAAATCAGATGCCTGTGAGCCTTTTCCCAAAACACACAGTCTAATCTCTAACCAGGAACTTGAAAAAACTTTTATCTAGCCAGGAACTAGAAAGATAAGGCCATGACCATGAACCAACATTTCTAGTTAATGTCACTCTGCCATGACTTAGTTCATGTCAATAACAGAAATGCTTTGTGTGCTGGGGACGGTTCACCACCTCCCAAGTGGTCTGATGAAGGGAAAAAACAAGCAAAGCTCTTACCTGGGGGCAATGTCTAGGGTGTTGATAATGAACCCTGAATCACAAAAGTTGCTGGTCCCAGGAATGAGTATCAATAAGATGATGGTGGTTATGTAGCTGGAAGTCACAAAGGGCAGGGCCACTGCACAGAGTGATGGGAGGAAGAGCCCTGGGGAATGAGAGCACGGTCAAGAAGGTTCTCAAACCACGTGCTGGGACAGAATCGGCTACCGGAACCCATACCCCTAGCCTTACCTAGGAATGAAAAGACTTTTCGTACTGCGAGCAAGCTGAGAAGATTCCTTGACAGAAGGAAATCGGCCACCTGACCTCCCAAAATCGTACAGCTTGAGGCAGCGACAAAGGGCAGGGAGGACAGAACCCCGCTCTGAAGGAAGGAGATGGACAGAGCATCACAGGGCAGCATGGGGCACCCATGTTTACCATACCAAGCCAACCTTTAGGTTAACCCCCAACATCCCGGGAAAGCAAGCCCCTTTGACACACTGGAGGAAACCCTCTCTCAGGTAAGAGAACCGACACCTGAGAAAAAGCAGTGTTTATGTCTGAGAAAACCTGAGAGCAACTTTAGAATCAGCTAGCGTGACCAAAGAGCATGGTGAATAAGGCCCTGGCCCGTAACAGCACCACCACCTCGCAGCTGCAAAAGCCGAGGTAAGTTATCTCACCTCTGTGTGTCCCATGCCCACACCTGGGAAATGGGAATCGTGGCCATGCCTCTCTCGCCGTCATGGCCAAAGTCAAAGGGTTATATGCAATACTGGAACATAGCAGGCAACACAGGACTATAACCACAGACATAGGAGTTTGGGAAAAATACTCACATCTCTGATGTTAACATGGAGCACGGTACTGATGTACGTCGGTAGGTATGTTATGATAATGGTGCACAGCCAGAAATGGCTGAAAAACCCCATGAAAATGGCCCAAAGTGGCAGGCACCTGACCATAGCCTTTATAGGGACAGATCTTCTGGGAGAACTGGGCTGCAAGGAAATATGTAGTCAGCACGGACACTCAAGCAGGTCTCCGTGGAACCCTGCCCTGCAGACCTCTGTGTGGCCCATGGGTAGAAGGGGAGGGGCGCTGTACCTGCTGGGCCAGTGACGAGACGATGTGGTTCTTTTCTCTGGTACTTATACACGGGTGATGCATGGGATCATCATAGATCACTGTGAACCACAGGACGCAGCACACACAGCCAATACTGCCTGGGAGGTAGGGATGGAGTTAGCGCTCAGGTAGATCTGTGCACCGGAAGAAGGGGGCTTCCTCTGAACTACCACAGCCTCTCCACCACACGTATCAATTCAGGACGACCTACAACTCCCCCATTTCTTCCTTTTCATCCTACAAAACTTTCTCCCACTGAAGCTTTTCAGATGCCGCCTCCCAGATGGAGAGCTGCTTTTCGTCAGTGGCATGCTCTGAGATGATCTAAGCATGAACAAATTGTAGTACAGCTGTGTCTTCAGGCTCTGGTGTTTACCAGCTATCAGTGATTTTTTTTTTTTTTTTTTAGTGCACATATCAGTGCCTTGTTTTGGAAGGTCCACATGGTCAGGACTGAAGTTATGTATACTAGAAATATTTATCAGGAAGTTAGTCATTGCACCAAAGATAAATACCTAGTGAGTTTGCAGGAGAGCGGTCCTTGTTTCCAGACTACAGAACCTCATGGAGTCCTACCAGGTACATCTCTTGACCATTCCTGCTTTACATACGTGAAACAAAATGGCTTGGATTCGTGTCATTACTGAGGAAGCCATCCACACAGAACTGTCTTTAGTGCCATTTGACTATATCAAAAGGACAATCTGCCAAAACTCATCTCCTTACTGGGATTTTGTCATTTCAAAAATATTCTACATTAAAAGATTTTAGCCAGGCGTGGTGGCACATGCCTTTAATCCCAGCACTCAGGAAGCAGAGGCAGGTGGATCTCTGTGAGTTTGAGGCCAACCTGGTCTTCATAGTGAATCCAGGCCAGCTGGGGCTACAGGGAGATCCTGTCTCAAAAAGACCAAAAAAAAAAAAAAAAAAACAACAACAACAACAAAAAAAGATTTTGGGGGACTGTTTTTTTAGTTCCCCCGTACTACCACATTCATCCATTCTTTTCTTCAAAGCTAAAATTCAGACACATATGATCACAGTGGTCAGAAGAACAATATAATATTCTTTGATTCAAGCATTTCATAATTTAGCGAGAGGAAAGGGAGAAATAAATTATTATATACAACATAAGCTGGACAGGACTATCAGTAAGAATCATAAAAAAGAGAATTGCTGGATCTGGTGGGAGAAGTCACGGAAGGCCCACTGGAGGAAGTCTGAACTAGGCTCTGTGTGTTTCACTAGGTGGAGAACAGGTTAAAGGCATGTTGGGTAAAATAGTACTTATAACAAAATGTGAAGACATACTGGACACTCGGCCAACTCCTACATCTGAACTGCCCAGAGCCAGAAGACCACGGACCTCAGACGTGATGGTAGAGAAGCTAGGGAGGTTCATGAGGGACGTGGGAAAGGCTGCGCTCTGGCTTCTCAGAGGCCGGCATCACCTCTGCCCTGAGCAGGTGGAGTCCTTGTGGGGAAGGTGTGAGGCTCAGATGTGTGGATGACATTAAGAAAGTACCAATCCCCAGAATTCTTCATTGTTTTCCATTTAACAAGGACACCAGGGAGAGTGTGAGTGATGTGTTAAAAAACATATCTGAGAAACGAAGCTGTTAGCATTTAAGAGACGGTGACTCACCAAAGATGTAGAAGATAAAAGGCCAGCCCAGTGCCTGTGAAATTAATCCCCCCACACAGAGGATGATGAAGGACCCAAATGCTGCCCCTGAAGAGAAGATAGAGAAAATCACTTAAGGAAATAGTACAGGCTAGACTGTTAGCACTCCTGTCCCAACAGTGAGGTGAGGGCCTTGGAGTTGCAGGATACTGAGAGGGTTTATTCCTGGATCCTCCCAACATCATGTGAAATCATGAGCATTAATCAATAATGGTGACTTGCCCCCAAACTTTCCAGTAGCCCCTTAACAGCCACGAGACCAACTCTAGCCTCAGTTTGTCACAGAAACCTGTAAGCACAGCTCACCACTGTGAGTATGAGGCTGGGTGCAGATGAGACAAGACACACAACTTAGAGAGACAGTTCCTACCTTCAAGGAGTGCTTAGACCAGCTGGTGAGGAAAATGGGAGCAAAATTCTCTATCACAAATGTGATCCAATGTAGACCTTGGCGTCTATACTAACAACTGCACTGGCCAGGCCTGGTGCCAATAATCCCAGCACGTGGGACTCTGAGGAAGGAATACTGGTATGAGCTGAGGCCACCCTGGGCTACATTGCAAATGCCAGACCAGCCACAGCTACCTGGTAAAGTCCAGTTTCAAATAAACAAATAAAACTCAACAATAACAACCAAATATTTTACAGAGAGTCACAGTAAGAAATATATTTTACATGGCAATAAGCACACTAAATGTGCATAAACCCTTGTATGTACCACAACATATACTCCTCAAAAAACGTTTCATGAGCCAATAGTCACCCACATCATGTGCAAAGCATCTCAACATTTTCTGTTTTTCTCTCTGTCCCATCCCATCCCATCCCATCCCATCCCATCCCATCCCATCCCATCCCATTTCATCCCATCCCAAACTCTCTGTTAATTTTCATATTTTAAATACTGTGTTTTGTTAACTAAGTTGGTATTATGACCCAGTTATAGGTCCCAGTCTCTAACTTTTAAAAAAATATGTAGAGTGTATATATGCTAAAAATCATAATGTGCAATGGGAATATACAAAGATAAAGGTAAATTACAGCAATTCAAAGACTGAAGAATTGCTCATATGAGCAAATCAGAGAGAAAACAGCTCAGAGGCGCAGAGCTTTTTAAGGCTGGGAAGTTGTGGGCAGGGAGCCACAGGAAGTAAGGAGAAAGCGTGTGGACAGCAGTAGACAACTCAGGGCACCAGGGCTTCATCGGCAGCAGTTGCGTGGATGGCAGGTTGAGATACCATGTCAGAATGACTTTCTATCCATGTGATCAGGAAGTCGGTCTATTATGTAGTCATAAAAGGACACTCGGAAGATTCTCAAGCAATGAGCAGAATTGCCCCATCAGTACAGAAGGTAAATTAGCTTTGACAGAAGAAGACCAATCTAGAGAAGAAAGACTGACTGAGAGAAGAGAGAGAGCAGGCTGCGACAGGGGTGGTGGGCAGAGCCAAGCAGGAGGGTTGCCATGCAGGATGGACTTCAGGGAGGGATTGTGGGCTGCACCCAGGAGCGAGGTGCTTGGTAGAGCCCAGCTCTGTTCTCCTCCTAATGTGCTCTCAGGGCTCCGGGCTGTTCCTACAAGCTGCTCAGAAGTCTCCCTTGATAACATCCTAGTGAAGTAACTGCTACTAATAAACAGTAATGTTACTTCCCCTGGTTCTCCAATGGCTCCTTGATACCAGTGTGAACAGATCTAAACACCTTAGTTTGTTTTTCCACCAGCACAGCTTGCTAGGATGTTCCACTGGTGATGATGATGCTGAGCAGGCTCCGGCTTGTACCGTGATCTGGGATGTGCTCTGAGAAAGAACTGCCTGGGCTCAAATTTCAGTTTGGGCCATTTACTTAATGTCTACAAACACTAATTCCCTTCTCTTGAAAATGAGAGTGCAACGGTGCCTACGTCAGAGAGCTGTGAGGGTTAATTAGCTCAGGATAGGAATCTGAGTTCTTATTTATATGTTTATGAACTGGTATTGGTAAAGTCCACGAGTTTTTTGCATTTACGCAAATTTTTTGAGACAAGATCTCACACTGTAATGTACGTACAGTCTTCCTGCTCTCAACCTCCCCTGTGTTGGGATGACAGTCATAAGCAACCATGTCCAGATTCAGTTCTAAAAGCTCTGAACTTTTTCCTACAGAGTAAAGTTTTGGCCAACCGAGTTCAGAGTGGCCTCCCTGCATCTGCGCCTGGGTCTTCAGCACAGATGTCTGTTTCCTCTTTGCTTTATAACTGTCTTACATTGCTGAATTTTTTGGTAGATCTTTTTTCTCACTTCCTGAAACAACTTGATTCGTAGAAGGTTTTGGAGGACAGAGCAAACTACGAATCCACGAGCCGCACAGGCACCCTTACCTGAACCCGCAATGCTGGTGAGCTTGCTCCGTTCAAGTGGAGGGGCCCACTTTGCCCAAATTGTAAACTGACCTGTCCATGCCATTCCCTGCAACGAAAGTCATAAAGCTCTTTGTTGTTTTGCAGAATTTGGGAATCTGTACCCCACTCAGACTGAGAAAAGACTTGGATACCTGGGCCATTCCCTGGACTGTGCGGATGACAATGACCAAAATCACACCAAAGTCAGCGGCCAGTGGAGTAAAGAGGGTGAGGAGAGATGAGGTCAGCAGGCCGGCACCAAGAATCTGCTTTGCTCCCATGACCCCCGCCAGATAGCCACTCGGTATTAGAGTCAGGATTATTCCATAGCTGATGGAGCTAAAGATGATGCCCTGGGTCTCTGGGCTCCACTGATAGACTGCAGCCTGGAAAAGACAAAGAAGAGAGGGACGTCCTCCGTGCGAAGAAGTCTTGATTTGAAATACTCAGAGCTGTTTGGAATCCAGGAGACTCCACTCTTAAAACATCAGTTTAGACGACTTTTAAATTTTACCTAAACATTCTACTTTAGATACACCTCTCTTTCGCTTCTCTTAAACGGAGAGAAAATACAGGAAATAAAGAAAAGGGGCATAGATGGTTACATAGGAGGCTAAGAGGCAGGAATGAGCCATCAAGTCTGTCAAAGCGCTCCTTTTAACTATTCCGTGAAAGCTGAGTACTGCGGACTCCCATTTAAAGAACGCGGTGATCACAACTTTGCTCAATTCTTGTCAAAATCAACTCTTGACTGAAAAAAAGAATCAAGTTTAGGTGCTATTTGGTCCACCTGGCAAAGCCAAGTTCTTAAGACACATACAAATAAATAGATCACATTTTTCTTCTGATAAAACTCAATATATAACTCTGATAGTCCCCCGGAAACTTGAACTATGTTATAAATTAGATAACCAAAGGATATAAAATGAACACCTACTGTAGTTAAAATGACATAATAATTCAGGGCATGTGATTCACGCTCGAATTAACGCGTGAGGGTGGACATAAATGAAATAGGGACTTTGAGGAAGGAAAGACCTCGGGACGGTCCCAGAAAGGAAGCAGCTGTCCCATCCTTTGAAGGATGCCCGTGTTTTGTATGAGGATAGCAAAAATTCATTCTCACTGGATGAAACAACAAAATAGACTTGCAGCACCTGGAATACCAACTGCTCAGAAACGCGGAAGGGCCGTGGCTGCCTCTGAGCAAAGGCTTTCCTCAGCCATCGGTAGACTGGTGTGTGCTGAGTAGGAAAAGCACAGCGTGTGAGACACACGTCAGTCAGCTTGAAGGTTCCCAGACTTCCTGAGCAAGGAGTGTGACTAGTAGGTGAGCTGGGGCCCATGTCATGTAATCATGAGTCAAAAGTGTGTAGTGATTGCTAGCGTAAAACCAGGGTCTAGTCATGATTCTCACACAAATATGCAGTGAACACACGACAAAGATGGCATTTAACCATCGATCAACGAGGGAATCAGTAAGATTCAAAGGAGAATTAAAAGAATCATGCGTGACCACGCTGGATGGATTTTAAACAGATGACCAAACTGCCTTGTTCAACCTCGTGAGGGAAATGCCGAGCGGAGGAGAGGGACCACTGCTTTCCCACAGGACAGAATTCATTGGCACCGCTACAGGTGTGAGTCTTTTGTGTTTCTTCAGGGCTATGAAGTAGCGGAAAAAAGAAAAGAACTGCAGAACTGGGTGCGCCACAAGGGCTCCCTGTGTAGGAGAGCTTTCACTAAAGACACTCAGGTTCTTTACTGCCCTATGTTTACGTTGTTCACGTTTTCCTTACGATTCTCCCAGCTTAATAATAATAGCAATAATTCTAGCCAAGATTGCTACTGCCACGGAGGCAAGCAGTATCTCAGAAATAATTTCAACCCTTTGTAGCTGACAGCTGAAAATGCGGAATTCTATGCTCTGCAGAGTCGAGAGCCAGCCCTCCCTTCCGCGTTCGGTGGTCGTCGCCGGCGCCCCTCCCTGTGGGCCCAGAGCCCGCGGTCCACCACACTTACCCTTGTGTTAAAGTCCCTCAAGGCTCTGCTCCGGTTGCTGAGGGGGTCTGGCAGAGGCCCCTCGGTGGAGGCGTTAGCTGGGCCGTGCTGCTGCGTGCTGTTCACCATGGCGATGATGGCGATGCTCAGACTCACGCGCTGCGTTATCATGGTGAAGTTCGAGAAGTGCATGATGAGAGCCAGCCCATAGCGCAGTGAGCAGAAACCTGCATCCAGACAGACAGACGTTTGCGGTAAACACCCGGCCTAGACCGCTCCTGTCCGGTCTCCCACGGCTAAATCCGAAAGAACTTCAGATGAGACCACGTGGGACCCTGACCACCTGCTCGCATCCTTCTCACACTAAAAATTGAATCTAGGGCTTTGTACACACTTTTGAAGCAGGCACTCCGGCACTGAGTTACATCCCCCGGACACCCCACCACCACCATTTTAATACTTTTTATTTTCAGACAGATTTCTCTAATTTACCAGGGTTGGCCTTGAATTCACTTTGCAGCCCAGGAAAGTCTCGAACTTGAAACCCTCCGACCTCAGCCTCCCGAGAAGCTGGAATTATGGACTTCTACCACCAGACCCAGCTAACCTCTTGTCCCTTTTCACCAAAATGATGACTCCTACGGAAGTCCATAGTCTTGTTCCTCGGTTGGCTTTGACACAAAGAGCACAATCGGTTTGGGGCCCTGTCTCGGAGGTGTGGGGACAGGTGGTAAGCAGAGGGAAATCCTTAATGCAAGGCACTCACGCCGCGTTGCTATACGATGAATGGGGAAGATGATGGCAGAGCCAACCACAGACGCCAAGTCTCAGGGTCTCAGGGAAGTGGTCTGGCTCACTGTGCACCTCCCTTCCCACTGGGCTTGAGACTTCATACCTACTGCCTTTGAACTACATCGCCACCATGCCTGAGACGTCTGTGAACTGAGAGATCCCATTCCACCCCATTTCCAATATGTAACCTTTCCCCATTCCTCCAGGGATTCTTTTCTTTGAGACAGGATCAAGCTGGTGTGGAACTCCTGGGCTCAGTGTGCTCCTCCTAACTCAGCCTCTTGAGCATCTAGGATTGCAGGTGTTCATACCATGCCCAGCTGAACGTGGGTACTTCCAAATACTACAAGTACTCCCCCAACTCCTGTCTTCATGAATCTTCGCGTGTGCTTCTCAGACACGTACGTGCACATATTTTTATTAAGTTTGTAGGTAAAAGGACACAGAGAAGCATTCAATAGACTTGTAGTATATACAAACATGTATTTATGTATTCAACACATTTTCAGTGTGTGTGTGTGTGTGTGTGTGTGTGTGTGTGTGTGTGTGTGGGTGTGTGTGTGTATTACATTCCCAATAAAGTAAAACAATGGGCCAATATTAGAAGAGTTTCCATGTGACCAATGAATTAGGGTTTTCCTCCCAGGTATTTGGAGCCCTGTGACTGAAGGGACACAAAATCTGGGGAGAAACATAGGACTGTAAGGAAGCGATCACTCTCATCCCCAGGTGCCCTCCGGGGTAGAACTGGTTACTGCGAATGACTTATGTCAAAGGAGTTATTTCAAGCTCAGCCACTCAGGACGTGGCCAGTCATTTGCGTTACATCAGAGGTCTGTGCATTGCTTAAAAATCACTTGCTCAAACCTCATCACATCCCTCAGATACCAGGATTTGTTGATCATTTGGGTTAATTTCTGAGGGATGAATCTGTAGTGTTCCCTAAGGAAAAAGTGTCAGTTGACAACTTGAAGCTGCATCTGTCATCAAACTAAGAGCATCCACAGGAAGAGGACAGATGCTCAGGGGGACACTGGGCCAACATTGTGTCTTCGCCACCGTGTAGACGCAGGACCGTGGCTCTACCTTTGCTGGTCGTAGGTTTCTCATCCATCTTGCTTCTCCGGGGAGTGGAACACACTTTGCGGTGGAGTGCCCCTCTGCCCTGAATCTGTGTCCCCACGACAGGCTTTGACCTATGGGGAGAACAGAACAGACAGATTCCGCCTGTCAGCGCTCCTCTGGATCAGTGAGCGTTTTCGTTTTGTGTTTTTTTCTGAGTTCTACATTCTAGTCCTTGCTTACTCTGACTGCATGTTTATGAGGAAATCTCATTGTAAATCCTTAGTGAGAATTGTTTAAACTCTCTAACCATCCATTTCTGCATCTGTTTAATAACAATAAAGCTTGTTTTCTGAGTGGAGCTGTCAAACCGAAGGTAAAAGTTGCAAAGGCTTTATCAAACCCAGGGACCCACACAACACTGGGAAATAGTGTAAAGTATGGTAGTCCAGAGACAGGACAGTTAACCAAGAGCTGAAGAAGATTCTAGAGCATCTTTACTTCCACCCGGACCCATGTTTCTGTTGCTCTGGATAACCACTGTTCTGTGGTATCTTTTTTGAAGATCCGCCTAATCTTCATGTGCTGTGATGGGGAGGTGGGATCGCCCCTAAAGTATTTCCTCCATCAGATTGGCTTGTGGACATGTCTGTGTGGTATTTTCTTGATTGCTAATTGATGTAGGAGGGCCCAGTCCACTGTGGGTGGTGCCATCTCTAGGCTGGTGAGTCTGGCTGTATAAGAAGGACAACTGAGCCAGCAAGAGGACGCAAGCCTACGAGCAGTGTTCCTCCATGGTCTCTGCTTCAGGCTCTTGCCTTGAGTTCATACTCTGACTTCTCTCAGAAATGGAGTCTGACCTTGGAGTTGTAAGGCAAAATAAAATCATTCCTTCCCAGATTGATTTGGGTCAATGTTTCAACACAGGAACAGAAAACTAGCACAGATGGTTAGTGTCAACTGTCAACTTGACAGAATGCAGAAGCATCTGGGGGATAGGTATTGTAATCCTCTTGATGACATACACTGGGATGGGGAGACCCACCTGCTGGAATGCACCATTCCCCAACACAGGACCCTGGACTGTATAAAGGTGGAGAACAGACCTGAGTACCACCAAACTCACCTCCACAGATCCCTCCTTCTGTGGTCAGATATGACGTAATCAGCTACCTCAAGCTCCTGATTCCCTGGCCTCCCCACCAGGAAGAACTGAAGCTGTGGGCTCAGGTAAGCCCTTTATCCTTTAAATTGCTTCCGTCAGGGTGTTTTATTACAGGAACGGGACCCACACACTGTGTTCGTAGATTTAAACATTCTTGGCCACACATTATCTGTATAGTTTATTGAGCTGACTAGATCTTCAAAACAACTATAAAATTATACTGAATGGAGGCCAGGCGTGGTGGCGCATGCCTTTAATCCCAGCACTCGGGAGGCAGAGGCAGGTGGATCTCTATGAGTTCAAGGCCAGCCTGGTCTACATAGTGAGTTCCAGGACAGCTGGGGCTACAGGTAGACCCTGTTTCAAAAAAAAATTATACTGAATGGGAGCTTTCTGTTATAATTATGAATGAATCCAGTTATTTTGAGAAGAAAATAAATTTCATGGCCCCAAATAGGAGCATGTTTAATCTGCTCTGTGCATCTCTTTGGGGTACATGTACATTTACTTCTTTTAGGGGAAAAAAGTCCCCATTCTAAAAATCTTGTAAGCTTTATACCCATTCCTAGATTGAATCTTTTATGAGTTTAAAAACCACCTGTATTATATTTATATTTTACAATTCAGAATTTTTTACTTTCTAAACCCAAATTTAAAAGAGATGTATCCACACTCTTAAAGATGTTCAAAACCTATGATCTTAGGATAGAGGAACACAAGGAGGGGTGTAGATGAAAATTTTTATCCAAAACTCTCCACTGTAGTGTTTGTGATGACAGCAGAACACTGGACATACATTCACCTGATTGTAAGGGTCTGGAGAGTCGGTTTAAACAATGCTTTCAAAGCTGTTGAGATATTACACCTGGGAGACACTTGGACTCCCAGGGTCCAAACAGGATACGCTGTGCAGCCCAGACACAGAGAAACACAGTTTCACAGAGATCCACACAGTGCGGGCCATGGCTTTTCCAAGGGGCCGACTCAGAGAATTTCTTTCTTATTTCTCATGTTTCCCCTGCTGTGTGTGTGCAGAGTGCACATGTGTTCATGCATGTGTAGGCTGAGTCCATGAGTGTGCAGGTGCATGTGGATGCCAGCGGACAACTTCAGGTGTCGTTCTGTAGGGGCTGTCCTCCTTGTTTTGAGATAAGGAGTCTCACTAGGATCTGGGGTTCACTGACTGGGTTAGGCTGGCTGTCCGGGATGCCCCAGGGATCCTCCTGTCTCTGCTACCCTAGTTCTAGGATTGTAATCATGCCCAGTTTTTGTTTATTGTGTGCGTGCTGCAGCTTGAACCCAGGTCCTTATGCTTGTGAGCTACCTCCCCAGCCCCAACCCTGCCTAAAAAAAAGTTTAGTGGCTAGTTATACCTAGAAGGAGCCAAATTCATATAAGAAATAGACATTAGATATTTAAGTTTTGAAATGTTATTGCTTTCTCTTTTTTGAGGCAGAGGCTCATGATGTAGCTCAGGTTGACCTTGAACTCAGCTTCCTGAGTGCTGGAATTAATTGAAATTTTCTTATTTGACTACAAAGGCCCCAAGTGGAGGCTCAACTGCTAAGTAAGGACAGACAGGCACCAGGGCACATGCTGGCTGGCTGCTCTGACTTGAATGACTTCCAAGTCTTACCAACAGCTGGATGACAGCAGAATTTAGTCCACTACTCTACACTGAGGTCCAGTAACTCTGAGCTCTAGAGGCAAAAGACCTCACAGGTCCTGCTCCAGGTGTCCATTTCATTGATGAGAAAACTGTTTTGCAGGGGGCTGGAGAAGTGCTTTGTCCCGACAGTTCACAGAGCTAGCACCAGACTGCCTGCTTTAGAATGCCAGCCCCTTTACTTTCATAATATTTTAAACATAATGTAAGAAAGAAAAGTGACTTCTTTGTGAAGTATTCTTAGAGTTTATAACATTTTAAATCAAGCTTTACTCATTCATTACAGAAGGAAGTTTGATGTTAAAACCAATTAAAGTTGAATGTTGAATATTAAGTTTTAAAACCCCATACTTTTTCTTGATTTTACTCTTAATGGAATTGCATCATAAACCTGTTCAGCTTTTTCCCCACTCTGTTCCAATCTAATGGGAAAGGAATGAAAAGCAACACACAGCTTTTACTGGTTTTAAATATCACATAGACTTCGTCCTAATGACTTCCACTTGTTAACTTTTTATTTTTATTTTTTTGCATCTGACAAATATAGAAATTAGAATGTCCTCTCAGCCATTCCAATTGGAGTTTTTCTGTGTCATAATAATGAAAACTGTTTACAAAACACTTACCTGGGCTCATGAAGGCCCTAACGCTGGTGTGGCTGACAAAGACACTCAGATCATTTTGAATCTGACTGTAAACAATTGAGACCATGTAATTTTGCAGAGACCTTCCCATTCAGCAGTGACATATCTAAAACAACAGTGAACCCTAGTGTCAAAGCTACAAGGGACATAGAGATGTGGACACGAATTAAGTTAAAGGAAAAATTTATATCTGAAATCTTTTATGACACATTATAGGTTGCATTTGAGGGGAAGCTGGGAGTTACCGCATTCCGGGTTTTACATAAGGAATTTTCCCTTGTTCCTCTTAGTGCAGAACTCAGTATTTTGTTGTGATGGCCTTTCTTTTTAAAAATAAATATTTTGCTTATTATTTTTACTTTATGTGTATGAGTGTATTGGGTGCATGGGTGTAAATGCACCCGTGTCCTGCAATGTCCACAGAGTCAGAAGAGGGTGTTGGATCCCCTGGAACTGGAGTTATGGATGGCTGTTAGCCACTATGTGGATGCTGGGAATTGAACCCAGGTCCTCTATAAGAGCAGCTGGTGCTTTTAACCACTGAGTCATCTCTGCAGCCCCTGTGATGGTCTTTCTAATATATTATATTATATTATATTATATTAATTATATTATATTATAATTTCCCCTAACAATCTGCGTATCTTGCATAGTTTTGTTAGACCAGTCTCCTGATTTACTCAGAACAAATATCACAGGTTCAAAGAGTAGAATCCTGGGGTTCAGAGACTGAATTCCCGCTCTATCAACCACAGCAAGTTTCATAAGCCCGAAAAACCTCAATTGCTTCAGAGAGAAAAGGGAAACAATGATTCACAGGACTGTTTGAAGAGAAAACAAAACCATGAGCTTGGGGGAGCCATTGCAAGGCTGTACACAGCGTCAACACCGCTGGTGTTAAGGCATCAATAACCAACTGTCACCATGTGGACACTCAGACCTTCTCAGACCCATGAATAAGTCCAGGCTTACAGCAAATACAAATATTTTGATAAAAATATTTTTGATTGTTAACTTGGTTAGCTTGTTAACTTGGTTTTAAATTTTTAAAAGTGAGTTTTTCTGGCCTTGAATCCACAGCTCAGATGGAGCAGGGTCTTATCTTGCCACAAACCTCAGAGATCATGGGAAGAAGCAATTCCTTCAGTATTAGGAGCACCGCAGGCCCTTCATCAGCCTCTACTTCTCTGGGGGTCTGGCAGTTTTGATACAATAGCTACTCCAGTGTTGCCATAGGTCACATGGTCAATGCATTTAAAATTAAATCACTGCAGAAAGGAAAAGAGTCCTGAGGACGAGGAGTGTGGAGTTCTAGAAGTCAAAGAGCCTTGCCAGGGAAGGTCGGGGGGTGGTGGAGGGG